CGCTTTTGAGAGAAACGGATCACGGAATCTTTCTTAAGTCACCCCAAAGCTCGCTCACTGATTGGTCAATGCCAACCAATCGGATCGTCTGCACGTAAAGTATAATTCTTCCCGCGCAGCGATCTGGAGCCTATAGTCACTTATTTAAGCAAGAATTTTTCTTAGCTAATTAGTGAGAATTCAGCTGCCAAACGAATCCACGACAATTGAAATCATACGCCAACCTTCTCACTCACACACACCACTCACATGCTGAACATGCCTTGTATACACTCACATAATCTTTTCTTACACGGCAAATCTTTTACGAACAGTCATTATAAAAGACTCTCATGAACATTATTCCAGTGAACTTTGAAATACTAAAATAACAGATAACGAGAGACAACTCTTGTTTATTTCAACCTTTCCTTACTTAAATGCATGCTTTCTTTCACATCGTTGTTTGATGTTGTACATCTTGTTAAATACATATTTTATGTGGAACAATGTCTTTGGCTTATCCTTTTCTACGTGAGCCCTGTTTCCTAATCTAAAGTTACATTAATGTGGTGAAGATCGCCACAGGAACACTAGAACAAAGATTAAGTGGAGAACATGTTTAATCACATAATTAGTAATCGAGAATACAGTAGTTCTGCTTAATAATACTGTAAGGAAACACGTGAAGAACAGGTTTAATTACATGAGAGACATGGATTAATAATACTGAAATTCGAGAATACAGTAGTTCTGGTTAATAATACTGTAAGGAAACACGTAAAGAACAGGTTTAATTACATGAGAGACATGGATTAATAATGCAGTAATTCGAGAATACAATAGTTCTGGTTAATAATACTGTGAGGAAACACGTGAAGAGCAGGTTTAATTACATGAGAGACATGGATTAATAATACAGAAATTCGAGAATACAGTAGTTCTGGTTAATAATACTGTAAGGAAACACCTGAAGAACAATTCTAAAGAAAAACAATCAATTTTCTTGTCTTTTGTTTTAAAATCATACAAGTTCAAGGATTAGAATGTCTTAATATATATATGCTAATTTGTTTAGTGCACTGAAAAATAATTAAATGTGTTCTTTTATTTAATAAGTTTTTTTCCCACAGTAATGTTTTCTTTATCGTTAAGGCTAAAGAGAAATCTACCCAGCCAAGTTATGACAATTTCGGTTTAGTCACCAAAGAAATATGCAGGTTACCGTCATCTAGGTAAATATTTGTTGCCTATTTAATTCCGAGTACTTTTTATTGATTTTTGCTCAATTCGAAACAGTATTAAGAATCGGATTGAGGAATCGGAGAACAGAATTCGAACTCCAGTCGAATCTATCACATTCACTTACGTGCTAATACCCTTGGGAATGGTATGAATCCTCTCATTCTTCCCCTCCTTCCAGCTATTGGTATTGGGTAAATAGCAAGAAAGAATGAGTTCTGTAGCCTTGGATGGCAACCGGTCTACCGCAGAAAGAAATGGCAACCCACTGCGGGAAAAAAAAATCTGCCTCGTCAGTCATGTATCAAAAGATACATGATCGCTTAAGGGTGTATCACGTATGACACATAACTGATTGAAATTAACTTACATGCTAATACCCTTGGAAAAGGTATGAATCATCTTATTCTCCCTCCAGCTATGGGTAAATAGCAGGACAGACGGGATACTATATCCTTGGATGGCAACTGGTCTACTGCTGAAAGAAATGGCAATCTACTGCTGGAAAAAAAATCTGCCTCGTCAGTCATGTATCAAAAGATACATAATCACCCAAGTGTGTATCACGTATGACACACAACTGATTGAACTCCCCCTCCCCCAGCTATAGGTAAATAGCAAGACAGACCGGGTTCTGTAGCCTTGGATAGCAACTGGTTTACTGGAGAAAGAAATGGCAACCTACAGCGGGAAAAAAATCTGCCTCGTCAGTCATGTGTCAAAAGATACATGATCGACTAAGCGTGTATCACGTATGACACATAACTGATTGAAATTCACTTACATGCTAATACCCTTGGGAAAGGTATGAATCCTCTTCTTCTCCCCTCCCACCAGCTATGGGTAAATAGCAGGACGGACCGGATTCCTTAGACTTGGATGGCACCTGGTCTACTGCAGAAAGAAATTGCAACTTACTGTGGGGAAAAAATCTTCCTCCTCAGTCATATATCAAAAGGTACATGATCCCCTAAGCGTGTATCACGCATGGCACATAACTGATTGGAGTTCACTTACATGCTAATACCCTTGGGAAAGGTATGAATCCTTTTCTTCTCCCTCCAGCTATGGGTAAATAGCAGGACAGACGGGATACTGTAGACTTGGATGGCAACTGGTCTACTGCAGAAAGAAATGGCAACCTACTGCGGGAAAAAAAATCTGCCGTGTCAGTCATGTATCGATCGCCTAAGCATGTATCATGCATGGCACATAATTGACTGTTAACATTCTCCGTTTATAATGGCAGTTCGATGAGTGACAAGAAAAAGTGCTAATGTTTGAAAAATGCCTACAAACTTCAATTACATACGGAAATTAATTTTTCTCTTAATACGGATTATCTTTCAAATAAAACCCAAATCTGCCTTCAAAGAAAACATTAAATTATTTAAAATACGTTTTTTTTTTGTTTTTTTTTTTTTTTAGAAAGTCTGTGACGGTACCTTATTTTTTCTAAAGTATGTATCATTGTGTAGGAAATTCGATCATCCAGGGTTTTATTATTATTATTAAAACTCCAAACATCCGAATTTCAAACAATAATAAAATAAAAAATAAAGAAAATATGATCTTGTAGCGGTTGCTATGTTTTCCCACGCCCACATTTTAATCGCCTACGATTGGCTACTAAATCACTACTACTTTTATATAGGACAATTTAACCATCGCAGTCGATTATTTGAATCTTCGGTTTTGAGCTTGCTTGCTTGCTCTGTTAGTACGAATGTAGTGATTGGTTAATTTTTAACTAATCACATATTTTAGTGCAAGATTAAGTTTTCCCGCGTTTCCGTGGGAGCCTACCCTTTTTTTTTAAAAGGGGCGACTTTTCACAAGTCGTCATTAAGATCCCGTAAGACCGTCAGCACAAATCCACGATCTTACTCATCACATTTCAAACGCACACTCAGACACAGAATTTCGTAATATAAACTTAAATTTCTCTCTGTGACTTTTCCAAGTTTAATCAACCAGAACTCTGTTGATTCAAACCATTCTATAACACAACACATTTTTAATTAATTGTATTCTTGTGTTATTTATTCTTAACATGCAAACTTTGCTCTAATATTGTTTTCTGAAGATTTTTCTCTCAAGAGAACTTTCTTCGAACAATCTATTACAAATCAATCTACAGTTCAAGGGGAACAACTTCTTTCCCTTAATCTATACATTGAACACAATTTTATTGCATGTTTGTTCTTGTATGTTATTTCAATATATATTTGTTGGTTAACAATTTCGAGTTATTGTTGTTTACTTGAATCCTGTACGTTGAGAATATCGTTAATATAAATAGTATTGGTCTATCTATCATGTCATCCCATAAGTTCTGTCCGAATTTGACCTTTTTGTTAAAATAAACGAAATTTAAAGAGTATTTTATAATGTCTAATGAAGCTAAACATTATTTTTATGTTTAGATGCATTTAAACTGATCAAATTTTATTTCAGAGAACAATAAAATTAAATTTGGTTTGATTAAAACCCTGCTAACATGGAAGTACCCAAGAATCATTTGAGGCACATAATGCTTTATGAGGTCAAGAAAGGAAACTCAGCAGCCGAAGCGGCTAGAAACATTCACTCAGTTTATGGAGAGGAATGTGTGAATGAAAGAACTTGCAGAAGACGGTTTGCAAAATTCAGAGGTGGAGATTTCACCCTTGAAGATGAAGATCGAACCGGGCGTCCAGTTGAGTTTGATGAAAAGCTTCTTGAAGCAGCCCTTGAAGAAAATTCTGCTTTATCAGTTGGGGAATTGGCATTGGTTCTCAGTTCAAACCATACAACAGTTCATCGTCATCTTCAACAACTTGGAAAAGTTCCTAAACTTGGAAAATGGGTGCCTCATGAATTGTTTGAAAACAACCGCAAATCTCGAGTTGACGTCTGGTCACTTGTTTTCTTTATTCAAAATTCGGACAGAACTTATGGGATGACCTGATACAATCCACACCTTTACAACTGGTAACCCCGACGTTCCCAAAAGAAATCTTTCAACCAATAGACCTTTACAGTCTAATGCCTGTTAAATAAAGGTGTAAAAATAGTCTTTAGTTGGGTAGTTAGTCCACAGAAAATCTCTGGTTTATAAAAGATTTTGATCGTAGCTAAGATTCACTGACCGTCTGAGTTGTTGATGGAAATAATTCGTTTCAAGTCGCCAACATATATTTCTTTCAGTACAAGTTTGGGCACTATTGTAGCCGTGTCTTCTCTTGTGATTGAACGGCTTGGAGAGAGTTGCATCTCTGCTACTGAAGGTCGAAGTTTGTTGGATTTTATAAGAAAATTTTTCTCGAAAGTAAAATCGAGAAACAGTTTTATTTTTCAAAAATAAATTAGGGTTTTAGTTGCCAAATATTTCATATGGTAAAGTTAATTTCTGACCAGTAGACATTTTGATTTAAATGGTTTATGTTGTAATGTGGTATCTTTTCAGCATGTTTGTAAATATTGTCTGTTATTGGGTAGAAAACAAAGTTTCGACGAGTGTTAATATGATTATGTAATTGTGTTGGCAATAGGGTTTATTTACTATAACACGAGCAACTGAAATCGTTAGCACTATTTCCTACGGATCACTCTTCCTAACCAATCATGTATGTTTTTTTACTCTCTTTCTAGAATAATTTACTGCATTTCCTATTTGGCTGTTTGTTTAAGTGCGTGAGAAAATACTAATTTCCCTATATTCGGTAACTGCTGCAAAAAGATGTAATTGTGTCTTGAGGAAAGGAATATCTGACTGTTGTGACGTCGTTTCTCAGAATATGGTTTCCTGTTAGTTAAAAAAAAATAGTAATAAAAAGGAGAGGATTTTTTTTTTAATATGACGTATGATAAAAACAAATAAGGCTTCAATTCGATTCCAACGTTTTTTTTTAAATTTCTTATGCGAGAGTGTGTGCGTGATTATTGAAATGTATGATTCATTTGAGAAAAAACTCAAAGGAATTCTTGTCATGACCAAGTAATTCCGCAAAAGAGATTCCCTGCCTCATGTAGAGCTACAACCAAGGGCGAGTAACTCTGACTTACCAAAGACGCCGCCATTTGTGCGCGTTTCCAAACGTGACAAGAACGAGAAAGGCTGCTGCGGTTCGTATTCATTTTTGTTGCGGTTAAAAGGAAAAATTAATAATACCAAGCCAAGTGGTTGTTACCCGCTTTTTATTTGCTAAAATATCAGCCGAGAAAGCTTCCAATCCAGGTCTGTTTCTAAGTAATTCGATTACTTAAAGTTATTTATTTTAAGTGATTCTTTTTCAGTTATGACGCATATTTAAAAACATGGCTTACTCGCAAGTTTACCGTCAACACTTTTTTAGGAAACTTTTTTTTTTTAATTACAATATTTTAAATTTTATCATTCTCCAAATAATATAGGAATGTTTTTATCTTTGTATGTTTAGCAATATTACTTAAGTTGTCTAATGACACGTTTCTAGGATTTTGTTTTGTTTATAGTTTTCCACTCGCGGGTATCATTGGACGTTGAAAGAAAACAACGAAATTGTTTTTATTTTAGCAAAAAAAAAAAAATCAGTTTCTTTATTGATTTTTGCCTTCAAAAGAATTTTTTAATCAAAATGATATAAATCAATCAATGTATCTTCTTCACAGGTCTTTCTCTTTCATAATAATTTAAAAAAAAAAAAATATAATAAAAAATATAAAATTGCCACTGTCGGGATATGAGGCAAAATAAAAAAGAATATAAAACGAAATTCGAAAATTTAGTAATTGTTTCCTCAAATCTTAATTTTTAATGAAAAAAAATGTAAACACAGAAGAAATAATATTACAAAGTTTTTTAAAAACAAATATTAAATTTTTCATCATAAAAATAATCTTTAAAAAAAAGTTGAAATATTCTTAAAAATTCTAAATTTAAACTTAGCATTTCATAAAATTTTATTACGTCGTTGACGTAATTTAAAATTTTATTACATCGTTGACGTAATTTAAAATTTTATTACACCGTTGACTTAGTTTAAAAGAACTGATTGCCTTTTGCATCATTATTTTTAAAAAAAAATGTAATTTATTACTTTTAATTTTAATTTTGTTTTTTAACAAATTAAAAAAAAAAGAAAATTCTTTTTTTCTAAATTCTTTTTTAAATAAATAATAAACTTTATTAACTTTTTTTTAAATATTGTTGTTTTTTTAATGTAATTTTTAGAACAAATTAAAAAGTTAAAAACTAAAAAAAAATTCCCTTTTTTTATCCATTCATTAAATAAATAAAATTTACAATTTTACTTTTCGAATTTTATATGGTTAAAAAGAGAATTATAAATTATTTTTAAAATAATTTTTTTTTTATAATTTTGATTATTTATTTATTTTAATTCGTTTTTCCTTTTTAATTCTAAAATCAGACTTGTTGTTTAAAAATTCAAATTAAGCAACTCTTTATGAATATTATAATTTAAATAATTTATCATTTTTATTTTAATTTTCTCAATGTTTGCAAAATATATTTTTCAATTTTAATTCTACTAATATTTTGATCATTTGTGCATGAGAAATCATTTTGTTTGAAATAAACACTTCATCCAGAGGTCATTTCAAAAATGTATGAAATAAGGTAAAGGAGTTTGTTTTAGCGTTTCAAACTAATTTTACATACCAAACAATGATTTATCTCCCTTACATAAAAGTTAGGTTTCTTGAACCAAACTCATATTCTGAAAATTGTAAACTGAAAAGAATTTGTGATGTAAAACTATATTTTTACAAATGCTGACTTTTATTTTTACTTATGAAAAAAAATAGTTAAAAAAATAAATATAAATTGCATTTCGACATCATTTGTTTTATTTTGAATTCATGACTTTCTTTTGGTTTGTTTTTGTTTGGAGACAAAAATTATTGCATTGGAGATAATGGAAGTTAGAAGTAAAAATTGTTTGAAACGCTAAAACCAACTATACCCGAATTCATAAATGTTAATAAAATCGCATCCCAAAATTTTATTTCTTTAAAAATTTTCATGATATATCTTTAAAAAAAAAATAAGTGATTGAAAATATCGCCCTTTTTTATTCTTTTTTCACTTTATTTTTTACCCAAATGATTGTTTTCAAGTTTTAAACTAATTACTAATTGTTTCATTTATCTCCCAATGTGTTAAAAGTGTTAGTGTACTAAATGAATGTTTGTGATAACATGATGGCTTATTTTAATAAAATAAAGAAAAAATAAGTTAAAAAAAATATTTTTTAAAGTTTATCGTTAAACTTAAAAATATATCAAAGTAGAGCTTGCCTACAGAACCACTACTGGTAATATTTTAATTTCCTTGTTTAATGGCGAAATTCAAGTAATTGTTGCCTGCATAAAAAATAAAATGAATGTTTAGTTTAATTTCTGAAAATTTGAGTGTTCTTGATGTTATTGAAAAGATTTATTTTCATTATTAGTTCCAAAATGTCTTCAAATTAAAATGCAAATTTTACAACAAATCTTCATTTCTTCATATATTTTTTGTTTATAAACTGAATCACTAATTAACAAAAAAGTGTTTAAAAAGGAAAATAATTTTCCAAATCAAATTATTTGAAAATTCACTGTTTTTTGTATTTGATTTTTTTTTTTTTCCTTCATTAGATTTTTTTTTTATTTAAATGATTTTTTTCAAATTTTAAATGTTTGTTTACTTTTTGTTTCTGTATTTTCTCTCTCAAAAAAGTCTTACAATATAAAAAGTAAAAAAAAAAACAATGATAACAAAAATTCTTTTGCATAAACAAAGATTCTTACAAAAATGCCAATTTTATGAATTGTTGGTAAAAAGTTGTTGAAAAAGAAAATCTGAAAATATTTTTCCCTCTCTACGTTTTTATTGGTGAAAATTAAATAATTAATTAGTACTTGCTTGTTGATCAAGAATTTTTTTAGGATGAGTGTTCGTGTTCACTTCCCCATTCATTTCTCATCGAATAATTGCCCTAAATTAATCTCTACTTTTACTACACAAAAAACCAAAACCAAAAAATAAAACTGGACGTTGGCTGGGATCGTTTTCTTTCAACTGTAAAATTTGCTTATTTTATCCATTGTTAATATGCAAGTCAAAATAGTCAGTTGTTGAAATCAACAATAAATCTCAATTCTTTCCTTCTTCTTCCTCCTCTCGCCCACTCTCCAGACGTAACAAAATAGATTCCAAATGAATATTTATCATTAAGTAGTCGAGGTTCCATGTCACTTTACTGGTCAATTTTCATTTTTACTGAAGTATAAAAAGACAATTACTAACTTCTTGTCGAAGGAGAGATGACAATTGAATTACGAATACTTTGTCACGCCAAACAAAAGTTGTCATGGCAATTTCCTATTTAGTACTCGTAGCTTAGACGTGAAACAAAAAAAAAAGCCCAAAGTATGGAGCACCCAGTGATTTCGTTTATAAATGTTGTTGAATATTAATATTGCGATACCCAAACTTTAAACTGAATTTATCTCCAAAAAAAACTTCTCGTGATGAGTGCTTATGTAGAAAGGAAAAGTAATCTAATTTAAATAGAATTTATTGTCCAAGATTATTGTCGGATTCTTGTGGCGGGTTCAAGGTTGAATTTATTTCCAATAAGCAAGAAAAATACTGTTTCGAAATTAAATTGACTGGAAAGAAATTCTTTCGTTTTTGTTTTTTTTTTAAATAGTTCTTTATTTCAAGGTAAATATCTCAACTAATTTTCAATATCTAAATGATTTTTTAAAAATGAAAAAGCATTCTTGAAGGTTTCTTTTTAGCTTTAATTGAAAGCTAAATGATTACATTTACTATTTCCAATTTTATAGGTACCTCTATGAGATCTCTAAAAAGGAGCATAGCATAAATACGCCAAACTTGACAAAAACAAAATTTTATCGTCTAAATCTTTCTTATTATTAAGAGGAAAGATCAAAGTATTTTTGGGGGGTGATGAATGACGTATTGACGGATTACGTGAGGGTAATTTGTTTTTTTTTTTTTAAGTGAACAAATTATTTACCTCATTATTTTTAAGGAAAACTTTCAGCTCTGTCATTTGTTTTATTTTCTTTTTGTACTTAGCTTTCACATTTATGATGCTTTATGGAAAATATATTTTAAAGAAATTAAAATAAGACTGTTGAGAGTGAGATTAAATTTCATAAAAAAGGTATCTAATTTCTTATGAAATTTTATCAGAAGTGTGCATAAAATACTATAATTTTAGGTACATTTAATTACATTTTACTGTGTTATTTGTATTTCCATTCATTTTATTATTAATTTTGATATTTCATTTATGGAAAAATGTCATAACTGAGATTAATATAAAAATATCATCATATAAATTTCATAAGATAATACTGATACTTGTAGGTACCCTTCTCAGTTGAAATTAAAAAATCAAATTAATTTCTCCACATGTTTTGCAAAAGTAAAGGCATTTAACAGCAGAGAAAAATGCTTAACTCAAATAACTTAATTGTATTCTGGTTGGTCTTCCGTCTTCCAATTATAAACACAAAATTACATTTCTTAATTACTGTGGGTCTTCTGATTAGTCAAAACGATACAATTTACAATGTGGTAAAAAAAATCATTAGGACATTTACGAAAGTGGATGCAGCTTTTAACTAATTTTATAATATTTTAACAACTTAAATGTAAAAATCTATTATAATTAAAGAAATAACAAATAATTGTATTAAAATTCATTTTTCATCAAAAAAATTTTTGCTTTCAGAAAATATTGTCCATATTCATAAAAACAACTAAAAGCAAAAAAAGCATTTGAAATTAAATAATATCTTTGTTTTATTGAGTTTTGTATGTTACAATTCAGAGCTGATTTTCAGGGAGGTGGGGGGTCCAATTAAAAAAAACATGATTTGCATTCCTCAAAGCTTTTGTGCTTTTAACTATTGTAATCACTAAATTGTATTCGATTGAATTTCTAGTTTTCATAAAATTAGTTATTGGGGGGGGGTATTAAATATAAAAAAATATTTCTGCCATGACTTTAATAAAAAAAAATATAATTTCCATCATCTGTGAATAGTTTCTGAAAGTTGCATTAACATTCGACAATTATTTTTTATTTTTGCAAGATTTTCCAAATTAATGTCTGATATACAAAAAAAACGTGCTAAAAATTGTCTTATTTTACTAGTTCCAGTGATACAAAGAGAAACAAGGTTTTTTTAATCAAAATTTAGAATGTTCTA